TTCCCTCTGATCTGAGATTCATCAGTCTGTTCCATGCTTCTGTGTCTTTGGATCTATTTTGTTCATCAGTTTATTTTGTTCATTAGATTCCACATTGGAGTAAGATCATGTGATACTTGTCTTTCTCTGACTGGCTTATTTCGCTTAGCATAATACTCTCCAGGTCCCACCATGCTGTCTCAAAGGGTGAGGGATCCTTCGTGTTTACAGCTGCATAGATCTCCATGGTGTAAATGTCCAAGAAGATGCTTGGTGTGATTTCAATCTTCTTGAACTTGTAGAGACTTGTTTTGTGTCCTAACATGTGGTCTTATCTTTAAGAATATATCATGTGTACGTGAGAAGATTTAAAAAAAAAAATTATTTAATAGAATAATGTACATAGACTCTCATAAATACTTGCTCGATTTAATCTGAGACAACTTCCAAATCCCTTGTAGATGCTTATAGCATCATACACTACCTTGATTTATAGGTCCATTTGGAAAGCACTGTCTGAAAAATATTATGCTTTCTAAAATGTGGTATGTGCTTTTTAAAAGTCTGTCCTGTTGCTTTTTCTTTCTATTTCTTCTTAGCTTCTTTCTATGGATTGTCTTTTTCTACTTGCCCTTTGGGTGTTGGTATTTCCTAAGATTCTGTCCTATGGTCCCTTTCCATGCTACATATTCTAGATTATCTAGGCAATTTCATCCATTCCCATGGCTTTCCAGGATGAGTTTCTTCTACTTGTCATTTCAGATAAAGAGGGGAGTCCTCTTCCCCACTGGGTGCTGCTGGCTGTGGACTTCTTACAATATCCCAAGAAAAAGAATTTCCCAAGACTTGCACAGGAGAACGAGTGGTTTTTATTTGCATGGAATTAAATCCCTGTTTCTAAAGTCCCATTTCCCTAAGTCCAGTCATAAAAGAAGTGTAGCTGGTGTTTCATTAAAGCTAGAAGCAAAGCCAGTGTCCAGAGTTTCTATTCCATGTTAGAGACAGGTCCAGTACAGCATTAGGCCAGTTGTAGTCCATTAGTCCATTGTGGGGGTCGGGGGTCCGTATAGCCGTGGGCCACAGGGGAGAATGCCAGGAAGCCAAGTGTGACCCATGAGCCAAATGTGCCAAGAAGAACCAAAAGAGCGAACTTCTTTTTTCAGGGGATTATATATCCAAAATTTGCACGTGCTTTCAGTGGCCACACCCATTCTGGCCAGTGACCTCTGTTCCCAGGTGTGACTGACAGCAAGCATCTTCCCTAGTCATCCCAACTTTACCAGGCATGCATCTGTCTTCCCTTTGTCCAGTCCCCTTCCCCCAGTGTTTTGCAGGGAACATGCCTAGAATGTCTGGCTTTCCTTTTACTCCTTTCCTATTATTAATAGTTAGCTAATTACAAAACATCTCTTGATTTCTCAGGCAGTCCAACAGTATGTTCCACATTAAGCTCATCTTTCTCCTCACATTTCCAACCAACTCTCCCAAGGGAAAAACAGGATACATATGTATGCATATATATAGAATATAAGTACTTTTTCTGTTTTGGAAAGCCCACTGCTAATAAGCAGCAGGCCGGAAACTTTAATTCAAGTCTTCCTAACGTGAATCCTCAGCTCAGAATATACTCTGTAAAATGATGACCTTATTTTCTGAACCAAAAAGTAAGATTTGTGGTTCGACAATATTTGAAGCCTGAACTTGTTACTGTAATTATAGCACATTGCTTTTTCATGTCACTTGTTAAATCATAGGCATAGTAGGCAGACACAAATAACAATACATATAATGTAAAGTTGCAATTACAGTAAGTACAAGAAATGTAGTGTGAGTTACACTGTGCATACATACATGCGCATGTATAATTCGACCTAGTTAAGGAGAGCAGATAATGTTTTCCGTGCAAGTGATGATTAAATTCAATGTGAAGGTTGATGAGTTCCCCAGGCAGGATTGGGATAGTGAGAGAACGGAAGAGTGTTTAATTCACAAAGATCTGGTGATAGTAGGTATATACTATAGGTGAGCACTATTTCTGTGGAAAGAAATTTGCAATCCTGTTAGATTTTTCCCCCCCCTTCATTTCTTCCTTCCCTCTTTCTTGTTCTCTTACTCTAAAAAATATTTGAAGCTGAAATGTGTATTAAATTGGGAATAGTAGAAAGTAAAGTGTAACTGCTTTTCAAACTGCGTGGTACACAGGAATTTGAATTAGAGGAACCATAGGATTTAAAGAATAAATTAGCCAGGATTTATGTATATTGCAATACCAAAAAGAAACAGGTTTTGTGATGGGGCTGTTTCTACTTTTGTTACCTAAAAACAACACCAGCACTTATCATCATTGCCCTGATACATTTTGATAAACCAGGGAATAACTAAATCCTAAGTAATAAATTTCAAAATCTTACATTTTAAGTGATGTATTTTCTAAGTGCATTTTTTACTATGAAATTTAGTATTCCATATAATCTGTCTTTGAGTATTTGAGAATTAGTTCAGGCTGTGAAAATTCTATTAGACCGTCAAGTGACTTTTGAACTACACTGAAGAGCTCTCTGGTCTGTGGTATTCTTTTGTTCTGCATATGTATTATCCTTCAAAGGTAGTTCTGAAGTTTGGTCCTCATAACATTACTTCAGCTCCTCTTACCTAATTTTTTTTTTTTTAATATATCTTTATTGATTTCAGAGAGAGGAAGGGAGAGGGAGGGAGATAGAAACATTGGTGATGAGTCATCATTGATCGGCTGCCTCCTGCACGCCCCCACTGGGGATCGAGCCCGCTACCCAGGCATGTGCCCTCACCAAGAATCGAACCGTGAGCTCCTGGATCCTAGGTCGATGCTCAACCACTGAGCCACGCCGGCTGGGTGGTGTCGGACATTATTTTCAGTGTTTTATAACTTCCATATAGTTTCTTTGAAAACTGAGTTCATGTCTGTTTTTCTTTGCAGAAAGGGCTATTGCAAGACATGAAGTCCGAGAAATTGAGCAGCGCCATACAATGGATGGCCCTCGGCAAGACGCAACTTTAGATGAGGAAGAGGACATGGTGGTCATTTACAACAGAGTTCCCAAAACAGCAAGCACCTCTTTTACCAATATCGCCTATGACCTGTGCGCAAAGAATAGATACCACGTTCTCCACATCAACACTACCAAAAATAACCCAGTGATGTCACTACAAGATCAGGTACACACCTCCTAAGGAATGCGTGTTTTCTGACAGGTCCTCACTCAAATTTTGTATCTCAAGGGGACACAGCATTTTTAGGGATATGTGTGCTTATCCCAATGAACTGTCAGTCTGTTAGGGGAAGGGATCAACCACATTCTTTTGAAATTTTACATTCTTCACAGTAGTTGGTACATTTCCTTGCATATAGTATGTATTCAAATATATGTGAAATAAATGAATTAATAGCTTGAGTTTTTTAAGAGAAAATTGATGCTCTTCAGTATGGTATACTTTTAAAAATATATAATATTATTAGCAAGATACTATGTAATAAAAACCATTATATTTTCTCAACTTATGATAGAAAAATCTTTGTTTGATGAATACCTGTATTCTGTATGGCTCAATTTTGCGAATTTCATCCTATCTTTACTAGTAATTTATGTAAACGTTAGCTATAAACTTCTGGAAAACAGGGATTGTAGCTTATATTTTAACATAATCTTGCCTTTTAAGTTATCAAGAAACTTTAGATGAACAGGTGGATAATTTTATGGAATAGTTTTAAAAGTAGAGGAAATTATCTCCTGAAATGAAATACATTCACCTCTTTATCAGTAGTAGCACACATTTTCTCCACACCTAGAGTTCTAACTATAATTATAAGCACATACAGTTCTTTCTACAAGTATGGAAGAGAATGGGTATTTGGCCTCATGAGAAGAAAAGATAATATTTGAAATACTGTCTAGGATTAAACACCATATTGAGATAGCCTTATTAGAAAGGTATTTGTGATACTCATATAATTAGAATGTATCTACTTGAAAACAGCTGAACTCGTTTTAGTAGTTGCAGAATTGACTCTGTTATCCTGTTATTTAGCATATCTATAACCTTTACTCTGAAGCAAGAGAATAACATTGATACACATAAAGTTCGCTTTCTTGCTAGAGAGCTGTTTGTAAAGGCCAATGGTATATGGCATATCATCTGCCCATGTAATTCTTGGCTCTCTACAGCATCCTCAATTACTCTTTTTCATAGAACCAAAAATCTACATCTGTCAGCCAAACCAAATAACTCATCTATAAATGAGAAGGAACATCAACTTATTTAGCTAAGTGGGTCGTAAAAACTATTCATTATGTAATATTGTATATCTAAAGGGAAGTATCCTCAATAATCAGTTTTTATACAGTGTGTGTACATTTTAAATCTATTTGCATGATTGCTTTTCAGAATATATCTTGGCTTAAGAGGAACACTTCTTAATGCCCATATAATTTTAGCTTTCTTTAGTAGTATTTTTTAAAAATATACAGCTTGCTTGTTCAATTTTTAGAGTTGTTTTGTGTCCAGTATTACAGAATCCCCTGGCAGCTACATGATGTCTGACAGTGACATTGACCATTTTTTCAGCAAATATAAATCTACAGAAGCTTGCCACATATGACATTTATTGACATCATGTAGTGGTACATTTTCCCAGTTGCATTTGGATGAGATAAGACTTCTGCTTTTCTTTCAATAGATAGAAAAAATTCCCAGCAGAAGAGAAGCATAAACGCTATCTTAAAAGCAATTCGATTACATAATGAACAACACTTAAAATATATTTGTGTGGGGAGTGTAGAGAAATAGTCATTAGCTGACATACTTCAAAATGGCAGCTGGTAGGTGAGAACCTGCTCTCAATCAGGAGTGGCTTATACACCAGATGTTCCCTAATACACCATATCTAAATCACTTACTGGTCTCTTGCTCTATATAGAAGCAGTTGTCCAAACAAGTTATAGTTACTGCTTCCCTCTCCTGTGCATGACATATTAGATAGCATTTTTTTTCACATTCAATCTAGTAAAATTTATTTAAATGTTAACTTCTAAATTATACTACATGCCTTGGAAATATTTTTTTTTAATATTCCCTGAACCCTATTTTGCATAACATAGGGTTGATTTTAATGCCGTATTTTTGTTCTTGTGTAGTGTCCTCAACTGCTTTATTATTATTTATTTATTTATTTTTAAATATATCTTTATTGATTTCAGAGAGAGGAAAGGAGAGGGAGAGAGAGAGATAGAAACATCAATGATGAGAGAGTCATTGATCAATCCCACAATCCGGGCATGTGCCCTGACCGGGAATTGAACCCCGATCGCCTGGATCCTAGCTCGACGCTCAACCGTTGAGCCACGCCTGGCCGGGCAACTGCTTTATTATTTAGATAGGAATTGAATGACCGATTTTGCTCTTCTTTCTTCTCTGAGAAATAGTTTCTAATCAATATCTGACTGAAGTAAGACTTAAAAGATTAGATTTTTATTATATCTGCCATTGTCTCAATCTTTCATTTAAAACCCAGTTTACTCATAAAAATGTTTTGGGATATAATAGGTGACCACTCTCTTTATCCTTTCACCTTCCAACCTCAGCAGTTCAGTCTGCTTAATATCCTCATTTAGCCTTAGCTCTTTCCTGGATGTATTTTGGGCATACTACTAGGTATTATGCTAAACTGCTTTACATGTGTAATTATTTCTCTCAAAAATTTTAGAGGCAAAGCCCAAATATTTTTAGTCGAGTATAAAACTATTCATTGTGTAATAGTTACACATATTCTGCTATTTTTTTAAATATATATATTTAAATATATTTTTATTGATTTCAGAGAGAGAGGACAAGAGAGAGGGAAAGAGAGATAGATACATCAATGATGAGAGAGTCATTGATTGGCTGCCTCCTACACCCCCCCTGCTGGGTATCGAGCCTGAAACCCGGACTTGTGCCTTAACCTGGAATCAAATCGAGATCTCCTGGATCATAGGTCAATGCTTAACCGCTGAGCCATGCCAGCTGGGCAATATTCTGGTATTTTAAAAACAGTTGTTAACTATGCTTTTAAGTTTTCATTTATTGAGTATTTAATATATACAGAGATTGTTCTAAGGCTTTGGGGAAATACCAAAGAGATAAAAAGCAAGACTACATCTTTCAGGGAGCTTATTTATAATTTACTTGAGAATGTAAAACAAAGACACAGGAACTATGAGGACTGTTCAAAGAAAACATCAATATATGGTGTTGTCACCAAAATGTTTAACCAAAAATATTTCTCACCCAAATCTTTAACGTGGACCTTTTCTTGAGGAAACAGGCAGATCTGTGTTGTAGGACATTCCCTAGGACATCTGTTCTGAACTCTAGTTTTAAAGTGTCAGTGTCATGACAACCAAAAAAGTCAGGGTCGCCCTGCGTGGTGTGGCTAAGTGGTTAGAGCATTGGCCTGAGGATTGAAGGGTCATGGATTCGATTCTTGGTCACGGGCATGTACCTTGGTTGCAGGTTCAGGGCCCAGCCCTGGTTGGGGCATGTGCAGGAGGCAACTAGTCAATGTATCTTTCTCACATTGATGCTTCTGTCTCTCCCTCCCTCCCTTCCACTCTCTAAAAATCAATGGAAAAAATATCCTGGGGTAAGGATTAACAACAACGACAACAAAAAAGTCAGGGTCAGGGGTTGGATAGTATTCTCCAGACTCAAGGAGACTAAAGGGACATACAAACCAAAATAATGTGTGATCTGTGATTGGATCCTTGAGCAAAGGTGACTGCTACTTGCTTTCAAATGGTTCAGGAAAAATTGTGTGTGTGTATATCTAGATTATATCTGTATATCTAGATATATATAGATTCTTTTAACTTTTCTGTAGATAAGGAATTTTTAAAAATTAAGAAGTTGAGATAAAATAAGAGAGAAAGTTAAAAAAAAGAGATTAAGAGATAAACATTTGAGAACATAAGGTGTGAGAATGCTGAGTAATAGGAATCAGGCAGATTTAGTCATGAGGGGTATGGTTGTGAGATGGGCTTCATTCAGTCAATTAACAGGAATTCCCAGGAGACAGGTACTCAATCAGCTGCTCTAACTGGAAAATGAAGTTTATTCTGCTATGAAAATACCTCTACATTAGAGTGCATTGTGTCTTTAAAGTAACTGTGTCAGATAGGAAGTGGTACTGTCTTTTATGATATTTCCTAATTCTTTTCTGCTCTCATATATTTAGATCTGTGGTTGTATTTTACCCCTTTCTGTTAAGACATTGAAAATATGTAGAATTTGCATTCTGTGTAGGACAGCATAGTAATTTTTTATTCTTTTTTAGTTCACTGTTAAGCCAACTTCTGGTCATTTGCATTGGATCCCATGGTTTAATATTAGTTGTACATACTGCTTTTTCAGCACAACACTTCAGATGAGTGCTTCTCAACCTATAATGTGCATCTCATCACTAGTTAAAACGCAGATTCTGATTCAGAAGGACTAATTTGCAGCCTGATACTCTGAATTTCTAAAAAGCTTCTGTTGGGTTGAAACCTCCTTAGAAGGTAATCTGAAACTGGCCTCCTTACATGGAGGGCAGGGAGAGACAGGAGGCCTTCACTGGATTTAGTCATGTACAGTCCAGATAGACTGATTACCAAATTTCCATCTCAAGCCTGTGTCCTTGGGCAGCGGAGCACAGGTTTGAAATACAGGGGAGGGAGTGGGAGCTTCCAGTTGCCCCATCCAGCTTGTGGGTCAAACCAGCAGTCAGGTCTTCTTGATGGCCTTCCCCAACAACTTCCACTTGATGTGAAAACAGATGCTTCTGGGCCTTGAACCACAGTTGGAATAGTGAAGATCTAAAACATGATTCTCAGTGGGGTTATGGGAACATGTGTATTATAACCTCCTCAGGATGGTGAAGTACTTATATTTAAATTCATATCTCTACCTCCCCAACAAAATCCAAATTCCTTACCTAGACCAACAAGTTCCTTTTAGTCAAGTCCTTGTCCTAGGCTCTGACCTCTTATTTACTGCCACTGGCTTTTTGGTTCATTGAATGCACCAAATGGACCTTTTCCATTTAAAGGCCTCTGCTCTTACTGTTTCTTCTTAGAATGCACTTCTGACTTCCCACGATTTTCTTCATGTTATCCTTTTAAGGTTTCAGCACAAATGGCATC